TCTGCAGAAGATAGAGAGAAAAAGAAAGTCATTACCTATGCCTCAGCCATAGGTTCTATCATGTATGTAACGTTGTGGACCAGACCTGATGTGTGCCTTGCCGTAAGTTTAGCGGGGAGGTACCAAAGTAATCCAGGAGTGGATCACTGGACAGCAGTCAAGAACATCCTGAAATACCTGAAAAGGACTAAGGATATGTTTCTCGTTTATGAGGGTGACAAAGAGCTTGTCATAAATGGTTATGTCGATGCATGCTTTGACACTGATCGGGATGACTCTAAGTCACAAACCGGATACATATTTATATTGAATGGTGGAGCTGTCAGTTGGTGCAGTGCCAAGCAGAGTGTCGTGACGGGATCTACGTGTGAAGTGGAGTACATAGCTGCTTTAGAAGCAGCAAATGAAGGAGTCTGGATGAAGGAGTTCATATCCGATCTAGGTGTAATACCTAGTGCATCGGATCCAATGAAAATCTATTGTGACAATACTAGAGCAATTGCCTTGGCGAAGGAATCCAGATTTCACAAGAGAACCAAACACATCAAGAGACGCTTCGATTCCATCTGCGCTCAAGTCAAGGAGGGAGACATAGAGATTTGCAAGATACATGCGGATCTGAATATTGCAGACCCGTTGACTAAGCCTCTCTCATGAGCAAAACATGATCAACACCAAGACTCCATTGGTGTTAGAATCATTACTATGTAATCTAGATTATTGACTCTAGTGCAAGTGGGAGACTGAAGGAAATATGCCCTAGAGGCAATAATAAAGTTGTTATTTATATTTCCTTATATCATGATAAATATTTATTATTCATGCTAGAATTGTATTAACGTAAACTTAGTACATGTGTGAATACATAGACAAAACAGAGTGTCCCTAGTATGCCTCTACTTGACTAGTTCATTAACCAAAGATGGTTAAGTTTCCTGACCATGGACATGTGTTGTCATTTGATGAATGGGATCACATCATTAGAGAATGATGTGATGGACAAGACCCATCCATTAGCTTAGCATTATGATCGTTTAGTTTTATTGCTATTGCTTTCTTCATGACCTATACATATTCCTCTGATTATGAGATTATGCAACTCCCGAATACCGGAGGAACACCTTGTGTGTTATCAAACGTCACAATGTAACTGGGTGATTATAAAGATGCTCTACAGGTGTCTCCGAAGGTGTTTGTTGAGTTGGCATAGATCAAGATTATGATTTGTCACTCCATGTATCGAAGAGGTATCTCTGGGCCCTCTCGGTAATGCACATCACTATAAGCCTTGTAAGAAATGTGACTAATGAGTTAGTTGTGGGATGATGCATTACGGAACGAGTAAAGAGACTTGCCGATAACGAGATTGAAATAGGTATGAGGATACCACGATCGAATCTTGGGCAAGTAACATACCGATGACAAATGGAATAAAGTATGTTGTTATGCGGTTTGACCGATAAAGATCTTTGTAGAATATGTAGGAGCCAATATGAGCATCCAGGTTCCGCTATTGGTTATTGACCGGAAATGTGTCCCGGTCATGTCTACATAGTTCTCGAACCCGTAGGGTCCGCACGCTTAACGTTCGATGACGATTTGTATTATGAGTTATGTGTTTTGGTGACCGAACTTTGTTCGGAGTCCCGGATGAGATCATGGACATGACGAGGAGTCTTGAAATGGTCGAGAGGTAAAGATTCATATATTGGAAGGTTATACTCGGACATTGGAATGGTTCCGAGTGATTTGGGTATTTTTTTAGGAGTACCGAGGGGTTACCGGAACCCCCTAGGAAGTGTTGGGCCAACATGTGCCTAATGGAGAGAGAGGGAAGCCCACAGGGGATGGCTGTGTGCCCCCCTCCTAGGGAGTCCGAATAGGACAAGGAGGAGGGGGTGGCGCCCCTTCCCTTTCCCTCTCCCTCTCCTTCCTGTTCCCTCCGGTGGAGAAAGGAAAAGGGGGGGGCGAATCCTACTTGGACCAGGAGTCCAAATAGGACTCCCCCCCATGGCGCGCCCCTCCTGGCCACCGACCTCTCTCCCCCCCTCCTTTATATACGTGGGCAGAGGGCACCCCAAAGGCACATAAAGATTTCTCTTAGCCGTGTGTGGTGCCCCCCTCCATAATTTAGTCCTCCGATCATATTGTTGTAGTGCTTAGGCGAAGCCCTGCGCGGATCACATCACCATCACCGTCACCACGCCTTCGTTCTATCGGAACTCTCCCTCGACCCTCTATTGGATCAAGAGCTCGAGGGACGTCATCGAGCTAAACGTGTGCTGAACACGGAGGTGCCGTACGTTCGGTACTTGGATCGGTTGGATTGTGAAGACATTAGACTACATCAACCGCGTTAACCTGACGCTTCCGCTTTCGGTCTACGAGGGTACATGGACACACTCTCCCTCTCTCGTTGCTATGCATCTCCTAGATAGATCTTGCGTGATCATAGGAATTTTTTTGAAATTGCATGCTACGTTCCCCAAAACACGCTACTGTTACTTAGCAGTAGCGCGGGCTGAAGCCCCATGCTGCAGGCGGACATTAGCGGTAGCACGGGCTCACCACACCCGTGCTACTGCTATGTGGTCCCCACTATGCCCCAGGGGCGCCACAGTAGTAGTGTTGGGGCACGGGCCCGCACTACTGCTAAGCTAGCGCGGGCTCCATCACCTGCGCTGCTACTATAGATACACGGGCCCGGCTCCCCGGCCCCGCCTAGCAGCAGTGTTGGGTGTGTGTCATGCACTACAACTAATGGGTTTCACAGTAGCGCGGGCCCTTGCCCCGTGCCACTACTAAGGCACCCTTATCCCTCTACCGCCCGTCGGCCCTCTCACTCCCTCTAGTCACTCCCTCACTCTGCCTCTTCATCCTCCCACCATCGTCATCGCATTGTCGCCGCCCTCCTCCCTCCTCCTTCCTCGGTAAGTCGTCGCCTTCCTCCCTCCTTCCTCGGTAAGTCGCCGCCCTCCTCCGTCCTCCTCTCGCCGCCCTCCTCCCGCCTCCTCCCTCCTCCTCTCCCCTCCCCTCTCTCTCCTCCCTGCTCTCTGCTCCCTCCTCCTCTCTCCTACCTAATTTAGTAATGTTTTAGGTATAGAAATTTTCAATATAAAATAGTAATAGAATAGAATAGAAATATAAAAACTAGTAATAGAATAGAATATAAAAACTAGTAACAGAATAGAAATTTTTCGTAGTTCTTCTACCTGCCCATACGACTGGGTGTACGTGCCCTGCTGGGTGTTCGTGTCGGACTGGTTGTATGTGCCCGATTGTGTGGACTCCGAGTCATCCACTTGCCCATCCTCGTAGCAGCCTCGGCTTTCGCCTCCGTCATGGATCATCTCAAACATCTGCAGGTTCGCGTCGTCCTATGTCGGCTTGCCTGCTTGAGGCATACCGATGAACAACATGCGGGCACCGAGTTGCTCCACCCCCGGCGTCCGCGACCGGACAAGCTACGGCGATGCAAACTCCGAGAAAAGTAGCAGCGCCGCGTTGACGTCGATAATGTAAGGACGGATGTCGGGAACTACCTACTGAGCTGTTGTGCGGCGTAGATTATGGAGCCTTGTATTGCTTCAGCCAAATGATGTTTGCACTGATGACGACGGCAGCGGCGCCCCCGTCCCTAGCCCCACCCTGCACCACAACCGCCCCTGCATGTCCCCGCCACGACCACCACCTCCGCCAGCCTTCTGCTTCTTGAGTGGCGCCACCTTTGACTTCTGAGCCAGCGATCTTGCTTAGTCACCAAGTTGATCTTGTGGGCGGCCGCCTTCACCGGATCCTCGATCTCTCTAGCAGCTTTTTGTACTGGTCCTCCATGTTGCGGTGGCTGCGAAAAAAGGCGGGAATTGGGGTGGGGAGCGGTGGGATGGAAGAGGATCGGGTTGACAGAGTGATTTTGCCGCGAAAATAGTGCGGCCAACTCCAAATGCATGGGCTCAGCCTCAGTTTTTGGTGGGCTGGGGGTGTCAGCGAGAAAGAATGATTTTGTCAATATCAATGAGAAAAAGGTGATTTTGTTGTTGGTAAAAATATTAACTCCTCAATTTTTAGGGGAAGTGTTTTTCCTTCTTCCAACGCTGACTTCCAAAACGAACACGGTATCTGTTCAGACAGTGATGTGAGAGTCGGTCATCCAATCGCATCCCCTAAATGTTCGTCCAGGTCAGACCAATATGAAATTCAAATGCATATCACCCTATAGCAGCCGATCACAACCAAAACGAGACCGATGTTTATAGTTTTAGATGTCTGATCACAAAAGTATCTCGGTCCGGCAGTCCGTGCAAAACATGCCTTGACGGACCAGCTATCCAAGCTATCCGAAAATGTCGATGCCCTCCGTGGGATCAAAAGTGCATCAACGGTCAATGAGCTGTCTGACGTAAGATAGGAAGCGTTTCCCTGTTTTTAGAGAGCTGCACAGTGTGCAGAATAAAGCTAAACTGTACCCTCAAACAGTAATGAGATCCAAGCCATTCGCAGCTTGGAGTAGCAGCAGCACCAGGCACTGGTTTCAGCTGCGGTCGTAAATTGCCATGAATGAGGCTACAGTGAGTATTCAGTAGACCCAGAAGAGCCAAGTGCAACCGGGCCCAGAATATGGTGCATGTCAAGCAGGCAGCATAATTCAGTCATCAAGCAGATGCAGATACAGTTCAAGACTAGATGTATCGACACCGGCTGGGATGGCGAATGTCAAACCAAAATGGATGATACGAAGGATACCACGCTTCAGAAAGCATATATTATTATCCAACCTTGATGGGAGAGGGTAACAAGCCATCTAACGATGGTGCTCCTTACAAAGTTTCAACACAACGGTAACAAGCATACACGCAGAGAGGTGGGCTATGCTAGATTTTCTGTATACTCGGAGCGCGCAAGCTGGTGACGCCTGCTAGCGCTAGCACACAACTAAATATACCGCACCACCAATATATAGCTGCTTTGCATGTAGACTCTGATATGGAGCTGGCAGTTGCTCAGAAACCATGAATCTTGATGTGTTCCTTCTTCACAATGCCGGCCTGCGTCGACACATATCATATTAGACATCTTGATCCATGTTTGTGAACTGCAACCGTACCGAGCATAAGATGAAGAGAAAGATGTTTACCTGGACAAGGAAGTTTGAGACGTTCTTCCTCTGATCACCCTGGAGTTGAATGACCTGGAGTGGAAAAGAGCAGCAATGATCAAGACAACTAGCTTGCATGAGAAAATTGCGAAACAAATGGGACAAGGGATAACGAGTTTGCTTGTCGTTTCAACACACCTGTCCAAGTTCTGTGTCCTGGACAACTGTACCATTGCAGCAAAACTCTTTCTTGAGGTCTTTGAGGATCTTGCTGTAGCTGAACTCCTTCTTCAGACCCTGGACAGTGGTCAGGCTCTTGCGACCATTACGCTGCTGGATGCGTACATGAACGTAGTCTTTTGATCCGGCAGCTGCACCAGCGTCCCCAGCATTCGCCTCGGCAAAGGGGTCTGTATGTAGCAGCAAAACAATTAAGCAAGACATTCCAAACAGTGCAAGCAATTTCAATGATAATTTGGATGGAAAACCACAGGCATACCAAAGGCAGTTGGGATCTGAACGTCAAGATCAGACATGAAATCTCCTGGTGAGAGTGGCAAAAGCTACACCAAGAACTGTGCACAGTAAGAAAATGAATCATTAGGGCATGCAGTCTAGAGAGGTGAATGACAGCTTCGTAATTTCTCATTTGTACAACCAAGCCGGCCATGGCTTTGACCACTGACTAAATAATTTGCATCAGCGGTGCTTATTTCATACAGCTAAATTAAAGAAAGATAAAATCAACAAATCAGTGAGGTATTTCTATACCAAAACCAAGGAACAACAGTCAAAGCCAAACTGATGACAACACACTTACACCACAAGCAATCATCACTGTTCTAATTGGACCTAAATGATTATGGAAGAACCATTTCACAAAACTAGTGGAGCAACCTGCACGATTCGTGTGGCGAGCTTTGATGTCTTCTACCATTCTTTACAGTTTGTTTATACATGTGATTTTTATCATCCTTTATGCTCGTTGTTTTCTTCAATTTTTCTTAGGTAGTCCGGAGTGGAGTTTTTCCTAAAGAATGTTTTCTTTCAACTTCAAGATCACAAATAGCATATCTTAATATGTACAAGCAAGTGCAGTGCTAGTCTTAACATACTTTTGTTGTCCTGACAAATTTATCCCCTTCACTCAAAAAGTTACTTTTCTTCGAAATGAAAATACACGTATGAAGCTAATCATACCATGTTTGTACAGAAAAATAGCATCAGGATTGGAATCCCTAATCTTCTTCAAAAAAAACACCGTAGATATCAAAATCTATACCCGATTGTATATATAAGAACACACGACCATATCAATACGGGTCGAAAGAGAACGAGATCCAAGAATACCTACACGGCACGACCCTATAAACGACCTAAGAAATAACCACGGAAGACTAACAGGATCGCAAGTCAAGATGAATCCATAATCATACGGATTCTTTCCATAGAAGGGGATCCTAATACAGAACTAACTGCAGATCAACAACAGAACATAGAGATGAACCAAGAATCAGGGAGAAGGGGCATACCCTGGGAGGCGGTCGAGGAGGAAGAGATCAACCAAGAACTTTCCCGGGAGGATTTGGATCGCGGAGAGGCGCTGGTAGTGAGTCCTTGGTGTTCTTCCTCCTCTTTGGGTCGGATGCCTCCTATATAAAGACGGGGAATTTATAGACGGGCGGAGGAGGACGCCTCTGGGTTTCTTGCCCCCCTTTTCCTCTCCTCTCCTCTCCTCTCGCCTCTTTTGGCCGCAATGCCTGCCCTTCTCCACCGTCAGTTGGCTGATTATTATTCGGGTTGGTTACTTTGTGGCAGCCACTCTGTCGGTGTTTGTGTGTCGAAGGTCGGAAATGTAGCACGAGGAAAACACCTGGTTGTTCTAAAACGGGCCACAGAGCGTTATTGCTTGCTTTTAATACTCCAAAATCAATTTGGTACAGTACTAAATCCAATACCCCATTAATCAAGCAACGGTGCACTTTCCAAAATTCAATCTCATTTCACATATAAAAATTCTTTCACTTGTTAGTATTGTGATCTCTTTATTACTCCTAAACCATGGCAAGTATTTTGGATGGAGGGAGTAATTTTTATTACTCTAGGTAAGAAATTGTGTCCATATGAATATTAAATATTGTCTTTTCTTAGTTTCTAGTAAAGATCTCGACAACTTCGAAGGCTCGTGGCTAGGCAGCAGGCACTGACATCGTTAATGACTTATTGTGCCTTAGCAACCAAAAGAAGCAAGTTAAATATTAACATCTTTTACTTCCTTCGTTCCAAAATAAGTGACTTAACTTTGTACTAAAGTTAATATAAATTAAGTCACTTATTTTAAAATAGAGAAGGTACTTCATAAAACCAAAAATAATACATTCATGAGTGGAGCTTTTCTTTGTTGACAGTTTCAAACAAAAACGATATTCACTTCATCATAAATATAAGATATTTTGAATATTTTAATATGTACTCCCTCTGTAAACTAATATAAAAGTGTTTAGATTACTACTTTAATATTCTAAACGCTCTTATATTAGTTTACGGAGGTAGTATTACATATGGACTAAAATGAGTGAATAAGCACACCGAAATGCGTCTATATGCGTCTGAATCGGAAAAAAGTTAGAACGACTTATAAATAGTGAAGGACGGGAGTAACATCTTATATGTACTAGTACTCCTCCGTCCAAAAATACTTGTCATCAAAATGAATAAAAAGGGATGTATCTATAACTAAAATACGTCTAGATACATCCTCTTTATTCATTTTGGTGACAAGTATTTCCGGACGGAGGGAGTATAATTTAAGGGAACACAAACCACTACAACATGACAATATTCTAGTTGGTTAAGGAAACACTCATACTTGCTAGACATCTTATAAAACTTAACTAAGATTTTTAAATTTATAACATTTTTCATAAAACAAAGTTGATTACACGTGTGTGTGCGCGCGCACACACACATAGAGCACCATCACCATCACCCGAACCACCAACACACGCAGGCGGTCATGTAATGTCTATTGAAGATCATTGTCACAAAGTATTCAATTGGCGGGTCACCATGGGAGTCTTGTTGTGGACGAGGACGCGGCCTCACCTTCAAACACACGTATCGGCTTTCATGAGACACATCGTCATGTGCACTAAGCACACAAGTCACCAACTAGCTATTCAGCCACAAAAATCAATGGATTTTTATAATTTACTATTATAGTACTCCCTCCGTTCCTAGAAAGACAAGTATTTAGGAACGGAGGGAGTACAAGGTAGACCATGGAGAGCAAACACATGGTGCCTTTTTCAATCCATTTTGATTTGCACGCAAGATCGCTAACATTTAAGTGACATTTTGTTCTGTTTTTGCAATAGAAGATATGTTAAGTAAAAATACATCTTAATACAAATATTGACTAGAGCCAGTGTAATGAACTCGACGAAAAAAGGTTTCCCCCGCCTTTATATTATAAAAGCAATGCCGGTGTAATGAACTCAAGACACCAACAAACAAACAATGCCCGAGAACCACATACATTTTCGTTCTGAAGACCCTAGCTTCCTCTCATTCCAAATCTTCACGACACGGGCATGACTAAGACGCGCCACCCTTCCTAAGCCATTGAGGCAAGTAGCTCACATAATTTCTCACACCACGCTGCCTTCCTACACGTTAGGGTTAGCCCTTGACGACCCATTGGCCGGGCAGCTGAGGTTGCTGCCAGTCCACCTGAGTTTGAGTCCCTGTTTAGACGCGCGGTGCTTGCAAAGTTTCTTTTATAAAAAGATGCCAACGAGGGTTAGTTTTTGGGTTGGTCTCATTTTTTTTACACGGTAGCGTAAGTGCAAGCCACATGTGCGCAAGAAAAATGCGGCTCACAGATAATCCCGGCCATACACGGCCGACGTCCTGCGCCGGTGGCATTTCACGCCGCCTGGACGCGGTCTACCGGTGATTAAAAACCAATTAATCCAACAGCAATGCAAATCGCGTCAATTATCCCTCGGATCGGGGAACCGGCGGCGAGCGAACCGATCTCTCCGGACCGTCGTCCCGCACGGACTTGATTCGCGATTCGTGACGGGAACGCGTCCCGTCCCGTGGGCGACCGCGCGGAGCCTCCCCTCGGGTCACCGCCACGCGGGGCCGACCGTGCGCGGACCCCTCTGCCAGCGACCAGTCCCCGCGGAGTGAAAAAAGGCTTCACGCCACGCGCCGTCGCCGCGCATCGTGTTCCCCCGCGGGCGGGGTTGGCGTGGGGCGGACGCGCTGCGCTGGGAGTGGGACGGACGGACGCGACAGGGACGCGGGGGCACGTACCGCACGGCGTACGCACGTCGCCTTTCTCGTCTCGGCGTCTGGTTGTAGTTGCGTCCGCCCCCCGGAAGCAAAAGTGAGCACGTACCGGCCGTAGCGCTGCTGCATGCGGACCCCGTGCGTGGCCGGCCGGCGACTGACGAGGCAGAATGCGAGTGGGGGTGGTGCCGCGCGGCCAAGGGACGGGATTCCCGTGAGATGCTGGCCGGACGGACCACGCGGCACGGTGGGCGTCGTTGGCTGGACCTGGGTGTTGCTGTGCTGGTGCTGTACTTTGCACACGAACCGTCTACGGCTGAGGCGGATGGATGCTGCCGACCCAACCATGCGCTGAACCTGTGCGTCGGCGGGCGTTGAGGGAGGGGTGTTTCTTCCTGTACTACTAGTACATGGTTTATTAACCGCACCCACGATATTCCTCAATGATTGCGTGCGGTGATCGTGGTCAATCAAGGGAATAAATTCCAAGACCAGGCCATGCCTCACGCCAAAGAAAGCACACATCACATCTAGCTATGGGATTTGATCTTTGCCAGCCCAAAGAAACAACATTGCTTATTTACCAAGCAATCTCTTATGCATCTATATCTATATGCCAATATAAAAAACCTAAAATAATACGATAGATCCTATTAATCTCGTCCATGAAACTAGGTCGATCCAATACCCTAGATTGTTCCAATGACGAGCTCTCAACATATTTAGCGCTGAATTAATACCATATCAAATATAGCACTAATCACATAACTAGTATGCAAATAATATCATATAATCTAGGGTCCCGATAACTGCCACACGTGTGGTTTATCGGATAATTGTGCCACACGCCTAACCAGCCCGCACGACCATATCCGGGCCCGCAAAGGCGCGGCCCGCACGTTCGATGTGTGGCAACCCCGCCCGCACATCCGGGCCAGAGGACCCAGCAGCCCGCACGACCCAGCCGTCCCAGACTCTGATCGATCCCCAATCCCGACTGTCGCCATCTTCTCCCACCTCCCGAACCCCTACCTCCATCGCCGGCCTTCTCTGGTTGCCATGGCAATCAGAGCAGATCCGTAGGGCCTTCCCACCGCAAACCACACCCCTTATCTCCCCCACCCCACCCCTCTCCACCCCCACCCCCACTCCAACAACGCCCTCCAAAGACGACCAGCTAAAAGCAGGTGAATCTCCCGATCTCCCTACTGCTTCTCATCCTTCTTCTGGGCAGAAAATTGCAAAATTACCGATGAAGTTGGCAACTAGATCCATCCTACAGGGGTAAAACACTACATAGGTTGTGTGTCTTCACAGTTGCCAAGCATAATACACTAGATCTGCCATGTACTACGCTAGAGATAACCACAAGTTCTCAGTAGATTGATGCATGTAGTTGGTAAATGAATGGATGTGTAGGAATCCATAAAAAGGGAGAGAAAATTGAGATATTTGGAATAATGGGGGGTGTGAAAATTAATTGCCACTGGTGTCTAACGTCAGTTGCCACCTATCATTGTCGTCAACTGCCACCATGTCAACTTATTGCTTGCCATCCTATTGTAGAGGTTGATGCCATCGAATCAAAGGGATAGCTAGCACCCAGATTTTAGAAAAGATAGTGGATGTGCATGTCCT